CCCCCCCTCCTCCTCCTCCTCCTCCTCCTCCTCCTCCTCCTCCTCCCGGCACCGGCACCGGCACCGGCACCGGCACCGGCACCGGCACCGGCACCGGGGAGGGCTCCGGGATCCGGGGAAGGACACGAGGGTGGAACGGAGAGAGAGAGAGAGAGAGAGAGGACTCTCCGAGACTGGCACCGGAGAGTGTAACTCCCTCCCCATGAGGCGGGGACCGGCGGTCGCAGGATCCCCGGAGCAGCCACCGGCACCGGGGCCGGGGCCTCCCGGTGTCTCCGGGACAGCAGCAGTTTGTGCCCTGTCTCAGGGTCCCCCGTGGAAGCCGCCGGGAGAGGGATCCCCGGAGCAGCTGCAATGTCCGGTCCTGGTCCCCTCCTCACGGTCACCGCGCGCTGCTGCTGAGCCGCGGCCCCTCTCCAGTGCCCACGGTGCCACCCGGTACCGGGCAGTCACGGTCATGCACACGCACCCCCCTCGACCCCCGTGGACCCCAAACCCTGGGCAGGACACGGGCCGGTGCCCCCCATGCAAGGGGCACATCAGCCCCCTCGGTCACAGGCAGGGACCCTCACCCTGGGACCCCTGGTAGGGCCATGAGAGCCCCAGAGGGACCCAGGACCCCCCCCCAGGAGCCCAAACCCCCAGGCCCAGAGATCTGGGGGGGCTACTCGGGGTTGCAGCCCCCCACCAGCCCCCAGGCTGTATCACCCCAGCCCCAACACCCCAACACTGGCTGTGGGGGCAGAGAGAACCCCCCCTGCACCCCAACACCCCACTTCCCTCCCCACCAGCTCCTGTTCCTCTCTACCACCGTAATTGGGTAATTTGCAGTAATTAGCCCAACTAGGTGGAGATAACCCACAGGGGGAACCGCAGCCAGGCCCCCCCTCACTCACCCAGCCCAAGCTGCAGATCTCGGGGGGAGAGAAATGGGGGGAACGGGGGCTGCAGAGCCCCCCCAGGGTCCCGGTGATGGCTCTGGGGTGCTCAGGCCCATGGTGGGGGGCTCAGCCCCACAGCACATCCAGGGTTGGAAGGCACCCCAATGCTGGGGTGTTGGGGGGAGCCCCACATGCTGCCTCATCCCCCCCCCTCCAGCCAGGAACAGCTCCCCCCAGTCCAGGGGTTCACAGACAAAACAACGTTTAATTGTTCCAGCCCTGACTCCCACGGGTCCGGCACGGCCGGGAACAACACCCGCATTCAGCCCCGGCTCCCGGAGCAGGAGCAGCCCCGACGTGTCCTTGGGTGTGTGGGGGGGGACAGCAGCAACGGGCCGGGGGGCTCCTGGCTGGGACAGGACCCCCACCCCGCTCCCAGCCCCCCCCGGGAGCTCCACAGCCTGTGCAAAGTGAGGGGTCCCAAACCACAGTGGGACCCCCAAAGCCACTGCCAAGGGCTGGGCGAAGGTCCTGGGGGGGGTCCTGCCCCATCCAGGGGGTCGTGCCCCGTCCTGGGGGCGTCACATCAGGCAGCAGCCGCTGGATCTGCCGTAGGAATTGTCCACCCGGTCGATGTCCTCGATGATCTTCATGAAGATCCCCTGGGTCACCTGGGGACGAGGAAGCATCAGCCCCAGCCCCGCCAGGACACTGCTCCCACCCCCGGGGGGGGTGTCCATCCGCCCTACCTGGCTCTCCCTGGCCGAGGACTCAAGGAAAAAGGCCCCCCACGACTCCGCCAACTTCTTCCCTTCATCTGTCCTCACTTCCCTGCTTGGAGACACAGCAGAGGGCGGGCAGGATGGGACCCCCTGAGCCCCCCTTACCTCTGCAGGGCCAGGTCTGACTTGTTCCCCAGCAGCACCACGGGCACGCTGCGGGCATGGGGAGGGTGGGGGCCCTGTCCCCTGATTCCCCCCTCCCCACAAGGGACAGCACCTACCAAGTCTTCCCCCCGGCTCTCGTACAGCTTGTTGTGGAGGGTCTTCACCACCTGGAAGTTGTGGGGGCAAGGGGACCTCCAGGCACTTTCCCCCAGCTTGGGGGTCCCCCCCCTCCCAGGGGACCCATCCCCAGCCCTGGGGATCCCCCAACTCCGCAGGGAGGTCACCGAGCACACCAGGACGTAGCCGTGGATGCTGATGATGAAGGAGTGGGGCAGGATGGCGTGTTCATCCTGGGTGGTGGCAGGGGTGGCTTGGGGGTGACAGGGGGGGCAACAGCCACCCCCAAACCCCCCTGACCTGCCCCAGCGTGACCTGCCCAGCCGTGCCCACCAGCTGCAGCTGGAAGTCATCCTTGCCCACCATCACCACCTTGTTGTAGGGGGTGGCACCAGCTTAGGGGAGCTGCCTGGCACCCCTGCACCATGCCCCGGGGCTCAGATCCACCTCTACACCACTCCAGGGCCATCTCAGCCCCCCTATCACAAGGTTTTGGGGCACAACCCCCCCAGAAGTGGGGACACGTCTGTTCCTCATCACCGTGGCCCCACAGGGGCAGCAGGAAGGGGGACCCCGGGCGGGCAGCCCCCTGCACCCCCTCCACGCGTGGGACTTACTGCTCTCCACCGTGGGCTCGTAGGACTCCACGAACTTCCCCTCCACGAACTGGTGGGCCAGGGAGGGTTTACCTGGAGGGGTGGGGGGAAACAACAGGGCTGGGGGGTCCCAGCATCACCGCGGGCCAGGGGACGTGGCCAGACCGAGGGACAGGAACTCCACCCCCCGGGGGGCTCTAGGGCACACGACGTGACGGAGGGTCCCAAGGGGGGGGTGTCTAAACTGGGCACGGCCCCACAGCCCCCACTTGGGGGGGAAACACCACTTGGTGCTGAACCCCCTGGCACAGCCCCCCCCGTGCGCAGTAACCCCCAGTGGGGGCAGCCGCGCTCCCCGGAGGGCAGGACCCCCGATGCCGAGCCCCCCGCACTGACCCAGGGCGCGGGGGCCGAGGATGATGAGGATGATGATGAGGATGAGGATGATGATGAGGATGATGATGAGGATGATGAGCACTTTGCGGTGCCGGCGCGGGCGGGCGCGGCAAACGGCGCAATAAAAACCCGCCCGCCCGCGCCGGGAGGGGGCGGAGCCGCCGCCACTACACCGGCGGCCGCACGTGACCACAACACGGCCCCGCCCCCCGCTCCCATTGGCCGAACCGCGGCGGAGGGGGCGGGGCGAGCCCGCGGCGCAGGCGCGGTGCCCGCCGGGGCTCCATTCATGAAAACGGAGGGAACGGCCGCGGCCACGTGGTGACCGCGCACCTGAGCGGGGGGGGATAAGGGGGGACTTAGTGACCCCTTCCTGTCCCCCCCAACTTGCTCCGGCCCGGGGACCCCCGGGAATGCCCGCATCCACATCCTGATCCCCGAGATCCCCATCCCGGCCTCCCCCAGCCCCAGGACCCTCAGTGCCCCAGGGATACTCCAGCTCCCCGGGATGTCCGACCCCAGCCTCAGTGACCCCCAGCCCCCCTGAGGATACCCCAGCCCCTCAGGATGCCTGACTTCAATCCTAAGGACCCCCAGGCCCCCAAGCATCCAGCCCTGGGGATACCCCAGCCACTCAGGAGGCACAACTCCAGCCCTAGGGACCCCCAGCCCCCTGGCATAGTCAACTCCAACCCCTCTGGACCTCCAGCCTAGGACTGTGCAGCCCCCACTCCCAGCCACAGCTCCACAGGGCCCGTAGAATCTCTTTATTTCCCCGAACAATTAAATAGCAGTATTTCTTTTGGTTTTTAAACAGAAGTGGTTAAAAGCAGGCTGCCCTCCTGCCCCACGGGGTGAGCCCCGCTGCCAGGGCAGGTGGGCGTGGGGGACATTTATATTACCATTTATAAATAGAAAAATAAAACTCTCAAGCAGGGCGGGTTAGCAGTTAGCACAGTTAGAGCCAGGCCTGGCACGAGATGCCTGTGCCCATGGCAGGCACCCCCTCCCCATAGCAGACACCCAGTCCAGCCACCCTGGGGAGTGCCAGGGACAGACCCAGAGGTGGAGGACAGGCAGGAACTGCTGCCAAGTGCTCAGTGTTGAGCTATTTAGCCACCCCCCCGGCTGGATTTGGCCCTGGGATGGGGTCTGGTGGTGCCTAACAGACACCAGCCCCAGCCCCAGCAGTGGTTAATAAAGCAATAAATACCAGGGGAGCACACGGGGGTCTGGGGCACGGGGACAGGGCTGGGTGGGGGTCCAGGACACAGGACAGGGCTGAGCCACCCTGTGACACCCCGTGACACCCCGTGACACCCCATCCCATGGATCCCACCCCTACCACCCCACTCCCTGGGGCAGCGCTGAGCCCAGAGACCCCCAACCTCCCCGCTTGGCTGGGGGTGCCCCCATCCCTCCTCCCTGGGCCCGAGGGGTGCCCAGGGCCGGAGCCCTCTCGCTTCCAGCGCGCGGCATCGCCCGCAGTGCGGCGACCGGGGGGGAAACGGGCACCCCTAGAGCTGCAGGGCCTCGTGGCCCAGCACGCCCCCGGCCAGCCGGTAGAGCAGGCGGGAGTACCAGTGCATGCCCACCTCGGGCACCGTCCCGTTGGCCGCCTGGGCGCGGGCGGGCAGCAGCGAGAGGAGCCCGTGGAAGAGGCGCAGCGGGGCGAAGGCGCGGTGGGCCCAGCGGTGGCTCTCCAGGACGGCGTAGCAGGACGCCAGCACCCCGTTGACCAGCAGGGTCCCGCGGGAGGTGAGCGGGGCGAAGACCCCCACGCCGTCCTCCCGCGAGACCCTCAGCACCCGCGCGGGGCGCAGCCCCCTCCCGCCGGCCCCGTGGGCCAGCACGGCGTCGCCGGGGCGCACGCGGCGGGCGAAGACGGGCAGGAAGGCGGCCGAGCCGTTGGCGGCCCCGCGGGCGGCGAAGACCAGGTGGGACGGGGTGAGGAGCAGCCGGCGCGCCGGGCCGGCCGTCTCGATGGCCACGAAGGAGGCGCGCCGGCCCGGGTCCCGGTCGAGGAAGAGCAGCACCTCGGTGGGCACCAGGCGCCCGCCCGGCTCGGCGCCCAGCACCCAGTCGCCCCGGCGCAGGTCGGCCAGGCCCCGGCGCTCGCCGCTCTGCAGCGTCACGGTGGCGTGGCCGGGGAAGCAGCCGCCGGTGCGGATGGCCAGCGAGTTGTCTGCGAGGGTGGAGAAAGGCCGTGGGTGTCCCCCCCGCCGGCCACCACCTCCACCGGGCCGCCACCTCCAGAGGGGAAACGGCCGCCCCCGGGTCCCCAAAGCACCCCCGGAACAAAGCTGGTATTTTCCGAAGCCCCCCCAGCCCGGTTCCTGCTGCGGCTCCTGGGGCTGCAGGGCCCCTTTGTCCGCCCCCGCACTGCTGCCCTTTGTTCGGGGCTGGCACGGTGACATTTACGGCCACTTTCACTTTCTGTCGATTGTCACTTCTGGACCGGATGGGAACTGCTGGGGGCTGGGAGGGTGCAGGGCTGGGGTGCGTGGGGCTGGGAACTGTAGGGGGTGGGGGGCTGTATTGCTGTTCCTCTCACTGAGAGCTGAGCCACGAGGGTGGCTCCATCCAGCCAAAATTTGGAGGGGAAAGTGTGGGGTTTGCCAATCTAGTGGCCAGAAAGACCAGGGTGAGCTGGGCTGGGGCCAGACACCGGCTGAACCCGCTGGGGACCGACACCAACTGGAGCAGGGCTGCATCACACGTGCATCTGGGAGGCCAAGAGGGGGCTGTGGGGCTGCAGGCTGGGATGCTCATGCAGATGGCAGCCCCCCATCCCGGTGGCAGCCCCTTCTGTGCGGTACCTGCTTTGACAGAGACGTGGATGTGCGCCTTGGACTCGTAGTAGACCCAGTCGAAGCCGGCCTCGACGGCCAGGCGGGCCAGCATGCCGTACTTGTGGCGGTCCCGGTCGGACGTGGTGATGTCCAGCGCCCGGCCCTCGTAGTGCAGCGAGTCGGGGAGGTGGTGCCCGTCCTCGTCCCAGCCCTCCGTCACCCGCAGCTTCACCCCCGGCCACATGTTCATCACGGCGATGGCCAGAGAGTTCACCCGCTCCTTGCAGCGCTGGGGGGGGGGACACCAGCACTGGCGTCACCCCCAATGCCTCCACAGCACCCAGCACCCCCTCGCAGGGACTGACAGAGAGGGACCCCACAGGGACAGAGGGACCCCACAGGGACAGAGGGACCCCACAGGGACAGAGGGACCCCACACAGGGCCTTGGAGGGAGCCCAAAGGGGCCGCTGGTGGGGGCAGATGGGGTGTCCCCCCCGGGGCGTAGAGAGGGTCATGGCCAAGCTGCCCCCCCCAAACTGGGCGCAGGTTGAACGTTAACGTGCCCCGGGGTCCCGTGGTGGAGCTGGGGCAGCCGGGCAGAACGGGCAGGGGACCGGGACGGGGACCAGGACCTTCCCCAGAGTCACCTTCCCCGCGGCCACGGCCGTGACTGATTAACCCGGCGGGGGGGGGCTGTGGGGCAGAGCTGAGGGTGCGGCTAACCCTGAACCAGACCCGGGTCCGGGCTGAGGGGGACAGCGGGGGGTCCCGGTGGCTCCGGGATCCCTCTCCCCATCAGCAGTGACAGCACCGACACGGGGTCGGAGTTGCCCCCGATGCCCCCCCGCAGTCGGTGAGGTCACAGCGTCCCTCGGTGCCACGGTGCCCCCCCCCCTCTGCCCCGTCCCACAAAGCGGCTCCCGGGAGCGCGGGGCCGCGGGGGCGGGAGCGCGGGGCGCGGGCCCGGGGCGGCCGGGCCGGGGGGGCAGGAATGCGCCCGGCCCGGCCCGGCCCGGCCCGGCCACAATAGGCGCCTTCCAGCCCGGCGCTGACCTCAGGCCCCGGGAATGCCGCCGCGGCCACAAAGGGCCCTTTCAGCCGCCCGCACCCCGGGCCGGCTCCGCTCCCGCGGCTCCGCCGGGCCCCGCCGCCCCGGCCCCGCCGCCTTCTCCGCCCCGGCTCCCGGGAGCTGCCGGCGCCGCGTGGACCGCTCGCAGCATCCCCCGTCGCCATGGCGACCGCGGAGCCGCCCCTCACCATGGCAACCGTGAGCATCCCGACGGGGCGCGGCGCGTCCCGGGCTCCCGCCACCCCGGAGCCCCATCCGGGGAGACGGCTACCGAGGCTGCCCGTTCCGTGCTGAGCCGCCCCGGGGCCGGGGCCCGGCGGCGCTGGGGGAGAGGAGCCGCCGGTCCCCCGTGCCCACGGTGCCGCTCCGTTAATCCCCGACGGTCCTGAATGCCCAACGCGGCGGGACCGCCCCGTCCCAGGGATCCGGTGCCGCCGCGCCGCCGCCAAGGGCCGGGGAAGGGAGCAGGGGACCGGGGAGAGGCACCGGGCGGCCCCGGAGGGGACCCTGCGCCCCGGGAGGCTCCGTGCGCCCGGGAAGGGTCGGTGCCACACGGGAGGCTCTGTGAGCCCCGGGATGGTCGGTGCCGGCCGGGGACGGTCCGTGCGCCCCTGCGAAAGTCGCTGCGCTCCCGCCCGCTCCCCCCGCCGCCCCCGCGCCCCCGGGAGCGAGGCCGGGCCAGGCCGGGCGCAGCCCCCACCTCGGTCATGAGCCGATCCGCCCCCGTGTTCTCCTCGTCCTTGAAGATGATGTCGGGGTTGTAGTTGGGCACCAGGTCCCTGAAGCGCTCCGAGCCCCGCAGCACTTTGCCCTCCGCCTTCCCGCTCGCCCCCAGGGTCTGCTCGGGCACGTTGGGCACGAACTGCTTGTAGAGCAGCGGCGAGAGCTGCCGCCGCCCCAGCCGCCGCCGCCCCACCGGGCCCCGGCCCGGGCCGCAGCCCAGCACCGGCGCGGCCAGCAGGCAGGCGGCGAGGACGAGCAGGACGAGGGCGAGCGGCCTCCACCGGGGCATCCCGCCCGCCGGGCCCCGCTGCCTCCGCGGGCCCCGCTCAGTCGCCGGGGGCACGGGCGGCCGGGGCGGGCATGGTCCCGGTGTGGCGGCCCCGGGGCTTTTAGAGGGTCGCGGTGCCAGGGGCGGGTCGGCACCGTTTCCTTCTCACACCCACGGTCCCGTCGTCGCTGCGGGATCCGCGGCCGCCCGGGACGACTGTTCCCCCCACCCGCGCCCTCTCGCCGGTGCCGCCACCCACTCGGAGCGCAGCGCCCGGGCACCGGGATGGCCCCCCCGCCGCCGATTCCGTGCCCACGGACCCGGCACCCCCTCGCCTGGCGCTGCACCTCGGTCCCGGGGTGTCCCCGACACAGCCCGAGCCTCGGGAGAAGCCCTCGTACCGGGCACCGGCACCAGACACCGACACTTCCCTCCGGGCACTGCCCCGGAACTGGCACCGGGCACCCGGCTCCTGGCGCTGCCCCGGGACCGACTCTGGGACCTGACCCCGCTCCCCGATCTCACTCTCCCTTCCCGTCTGAATCCCACGCTCCAGTACCGGCTCCTCTACCCACTCCCCACACTGCGCTCCGGGACCGTGACCCCCCCTTATCCCGGTCCTAACGCCGCGATTCTGGTCCTGGGACCTCTACCCTCTCCTGTCACCGCCTGTCGGGACCGGGGACACCCCCCTCTCCCCGTCCCGATCCCTCTTCTCCCGCTGCCCCTGGCACTGAGGGCACTCGTTATCCTAACGCTGCGCCGCCGGTATCGGCACCTGCTCCGTCCCCTTGGCACAGCGCTGCTCCCGGGCTCCCTGGCGCTACCCCGGTCCCCTCTGTTCGGTCCGACCCCCGGTCCCGGTCCCGGTCCCCACTCCTGTCCCAGTCCCCGGTACCGGCTGCCCTGGTTGGCACCGTGCGCCGCCCGCAGCCGCCCCGGCCGGGCTGCCCCCACCGCGGCCGCTCGGCTCCGGCGCTGGGCAGCCCCGTCGGGCCCCGCCTCGGACCCGGCCCCCGGGAGCGGCGGCAGCGGCGGCCACATCCCCCGGGGCCGCCCCCGCCGGGCTGCCCTGCCCCGGCCCCTCCGCGCCCCGGGACCGGGACACCCCGGCACCGGGACCGGGCTCCGGTGGGGATGGAGGCACCCCCGAGGCTGGCACCGGGCTGCTCCGGGGCTGCCACCGGGCTCCACCGGGCACACCGGCGCCTCCAGGAACGGGACACCCCCGGGACCGGGCTTCCCCCGGGGCTGGGGCCGTGTCCCCCCGCCCAGCACCCCCAGAGCTCCCAGCGAAGCACCCAAGGGTGCCGGGGGTCTCGGCGAGGGCAGGAGGCAGCAGCGGGGCGGTGGAGCGTTGGGAGCGGGTCGAGGGGGTCCCGCCCCCCCCCCCCGCAGTCCCCCCGCAGCCCCGGTGCCAGCCCGGGGTGACTGGGAGGGGAGCAGATTGCGGGGAAATCGCGGGCACCGATGGCCTCATTTCCTGCAATATAAACCAGGTTTCCTGCGCTTCCTGCTCGGCCCCAGCCCGGGGGGGGGGGGCGAGGGGGGGTCCGGGCCCCCCACCCCTGCCTGGGGGGGTCGGGCCTGGCTCGGCCCCAGCCGGGGCAGGATGGGTGGGGGGCCGGCTCTCAGGGCAGTTTCCGCTCTGGCTGCAGGACCCCCCCATCCCAGGGGCTGGAGCTCACCCCGTGCCCCACACTGGGGGCAGCTGAGACCCCCCTGCCCGTACCCCAAAGCTGCCCAGAGCCCCCCAACACCCTCGGGGTCCCTCAGCCCCGGGCAGCGGGCAGGGAGTTGTCCTCACCTGTGGCCCTCCCTGGAAAAACCTCGTTAACCCCAGCCAGGAAGAGGGTTAATTATGGGCCCCAGGGAAGGGGAGGGCAGCACTGTGACCCCCCGGGCAGGGACACCCCGCCCCTGCCCCCCCCCATACTCGGCCCTGCCCTCGGAGGGAATAAAACCCCCAGATTCAGATATTTTTATATAAAAAAGAGACACTATTTATTGCTCCAAACAAGTTCCGAGGTAACAGAGAACTAACAGACTCATCACACCAAGCTGCCAGAGAGAGGGGCTTGTCCTCTGCACCCCTGTTAGGGATCCCAAAGGCCTCGGGGTGGGGTGGGGGACAACCAGTGCCCCCCTGCAGCCCCAGAGTGACGTGGGGACGAGCTGTGGAGTGACTGTGGGCAGGGGGGACACGGGGCCGCCCCCATAGTGTCAGAACAGTCCCTGGGGTGGGGGGACATTTAAAACCCAACCAGACCCCATGGAGCAGCCTGGAGGGGAAGGGGCCCAGCCACTCTCACATGAGGTATGTAAACAGGACGGGGGGGCTGCAGCCAGCACAGCCTCGGGGACCCCCCACACCCCTGGGGGGGTGACAGGGACGTGGCTCAAGGCCAAGGCTCAGTAGCGCAACGGGCTGAGACAGAGCTCGGGGGGTGTCCCCCCCTCCTGTGGGGTCTTGGCTCTCCCTGGGTGGCCCCGATGTCCCTGAAGCACCAGGTGCCATCGGTGCCAGCTCTGTGGCTGGTGGGCCACCCTGGCTGGGGGGACGTGTCGCTGTCCCCAGCCTCAGCAGGACTTGACGAGGGGCCGGCGGCACGTCACGGGCAGGGGCAGCTTGTGCAGACCTGGGCAGAGGGAGAGTGTGAGAGCTGGAGGGGCACAGGGGACACCCCAGCACCCACCGCCGTGTCCCCACAGCCCCTTCCTCACCGAGGGCACGGATGAGCTCGGCCTGCACGGCCCAGGAGACCCTTTTCACGAGGCACAGCGTGGTGAGCCCCGCAAAGCCCATGTTGTAGAGGAAGACGATGTAAAAGTTCCCCAACCAGTTGAAGCGGCCAAAATCCCCCAGGAGGTCAAAACGGGTGATCCCTGCAACAGGGGTGTGGGACACCGGTCAGGGCACCCCAACTCTGGGGACACCCCTGTCCCGGGGACACCCCTGTCCCAGGGTCACCCCAATCCCTCCAGGGGCTCACCCAGTGTCCTGGAGAACACGGGCAGTGCCGAGCTGAGCACCAGCAGGGAGACACAGTTCCCGATGATCTGAGGAGAGGAAGGAGGGTTTGGGGGGGGGGGCAGTGCTGCCGCAGGGACCCCCCCAGGCTGGGGAAGGGGCTCTCCAAATGCTGGAGAACCACCGGGGTCCTTCCCAGCACTGGGATGCTTTGTCCCCTCACATGAGGACACCACTGGGGGTCCTGCACATCAAAGGGAGCCCAGGAGCCCCCCAACCCCAGCCCGGAGCTCCCACCTTGGTGAGGGGGGTGTCCTGTCGCTCCGGGAGCAGGCGGGTGAAGAGGGGGGAGCTGTAGAAGCCCACGACAGAGGAGACCATCAGGTAGCTGTGGGGGGTGTTAAGGAGGAAAACAGGGTGGGATGGCCCCGGGGACAGTGTTGGGGACAAAAGGGACCTCGCTGGGGACACAAGTGCCCGCTGGAAGGATACAAGATGAGGACGACCTGCAGGGCAGCTCCGAAGGAACCGAAGATGGAGAAGGAGACCTGGCCCAGGGACGCGTCCTGCGGGGAGAGGAGGGGGCAGGTTGGGGGGAACAGTCCCCAGACCAGCGAGGGACACGACCCCACACTGCCCCATCCCCCTGCCCGGGTACCTGGATGCCCCGTGGCATCGCGGCATCGTCCAGCAGCAGCTCCAGGACGTGGAAGCAGACGATGAGCACAGAAATGCCCTGGGAGGAGCAGGGAGGGAGTGAGGGCAGTGGAGGGGACAGGGGCGACCCCCAACTCCCCCTGGGTGCCAAGGGCCACTCACCGTCAGCGCCAGGAGGCCCAGCATGGCCAGGGGGTAGCCCAGGTTCCTCTGCCAGGGCGACGCTCGGTGCCGCAGCTCTGGGGGGGGGATGTGCCCAGGTGAGAGGGGAGAAGAGCCCCCACCCCGGGGCAGGAGACTGAGGAGGCCCCAAAGTGCCAGGACAGGGGGTAACAGCCCCCACCCAATTTCCCATCCCCCTTCCTCCATGGGGCACAGGCTGCCGGGGACCCAGTGCTCCCAGTGCCAAGCTGGAAGGAATCCAGGTATCCCAGTTTTCCCCCCCGGGCTCCTCACCCAGCTTCCGCCTCTTGCTCCGGATGGCAAAGAACTGCTCCCGCAGCAGCTCCATGTCCAGGTTCAGCCAGCAGGAAGCTTTGCCTGCCAGGGAGGACACACCGAGGGGCTCAGGGGGGCTGAATGCTCTCATGGTGGGGCACAGGGACCTCCCAATCCACCCTGTGCTCCCCCTTCCCGTGCTGGGCACCCACCGGAGCGGATCCTGCGGGATACGGCAGCTTCCTCGAACCTCGTGCAGCTCAACTGCTCGTCCAGGTCTTCCAGGAGCTGGGGATGGGTGAGGAGCCCGTGAGCAGCCAGTGAGGGGGCATGGATGGCTCCCCGTGCCCAGGGTGGGAGAGCAGGCAGCCCTGGGGACAGTCACACCCAGGCTGGGGCAGCGGGATCGGGGAGGGGACACCTCCTTACCCGGGGTTTCACCAGCAGCTGCCCCGTGACGGTGAACATGGTGGAGAGGCCGAAGGGGGTGCACACTGCGGTGGGAGGAGAGGCTGAACGGGGGGTGCCCCAGCATCCTACCCCTCCCAGCACCCCTAGAAGGGTCCTGGGTAGGGCTGGGGGCTCAGCCCTGCACAGCGACCTCCTCCAGACCCCATTTGGAGGGAGCACCCCCTTCTCCCAGCTGGGCACCCCAGGGGACCCACACCCAGTGCAGGATGGGCCACTGGGGCCAGGGCACCTTGGGGGGCATCCAACGACTTACACAGCAGAAGCAGCACACCAAAGAGGGAGATGCAGGAGTAGAGGTAGGGCAGGTAATATTCCCAGAGGTCTGTGGAGATGGCAGAATCAGGCCAGTGGCACCAGGCACCCCTTGTCCCATTCAGTGCCAGGGCCTGATCCTGCCCCGCCGGAGCTGGGAGAGCCCAGGGCACCCCAGCAGCACCCACCATAGAGTGACTGGCGACTGGCAGCGTCGTTGCCCACGATGGCAGAGGCCACCCAGACCATGCCCAGCACCAGCAGTGTCAGCAGCAGCAGCACCACCGAGGTCTCGTACACCCTGGCCATGATGCCCTGCAGGAGTGGGGTCAGTGTGGAGCCAAGGATGGGGGGCACAGGGGGCACATCCACAGGACCACCCACCTTCTTGGATCCTGCAAACCCCTCCGACTCGGTGAAGAAGTAGGCGAAGGGCATGAGGAACACGAGGGACAGGTTGGAGAAGAGGAAGATCAAGTTCCAGAGGCCTGGAGGAGGGGGAGCAGCGTGGGATGAGCCCCCAGGGGGGGGTGAAGCCTGACCCACAGCCCTCGAGGCACTCACAGGGTCACCCCGTGCACCCACCGTGGACAAGGGACCCGTTGAGCCACTGGATGTAGTAGTTGTGGGGGAAGGAGAGCAGCACCTCGTTGCTGATGATGGAGAAGGGCAGGAGGAGGACGGCGCCCAGTGCCACGGCCAGGGTGAAGGTGCAGAGCCCCAACCTGCCAGAGGGACCAGTGTCACCTCGGGGTCAGGGCCTCTAGGGGTGTCACAGCCCAGCTGTGCCACCCAGGGTCAGCAGCACCCACGGGACACGGTGTCCCGGCTGAGGAAGGGGCAGAGTTTCAGGGAAAGGACAGACGGGAACTTACGCAATCCTGTTGACAGCAGCATCCTCGTCATCGTGCACTGCGGGGACAAAATGCCAAACCAAGGGGCTGGAGGAGGCAGAGCTGCCTGGAGCTCCCTCCTCAACCTCCCTCTGCTCTGAACAGAACCCCCCCCTGGGGAACTGGGCTCTGCTGTCCCCTGGGGCAGCTGGTGGGTGCCCTGCAGGGACTGGTGTCACGGAAACCCGGCTGTGGCGGGACCGGAGAGGCTGAAACCGGGGGAGAAACAACCCTGGGGAGGCTGAATGTGGCTGCCAAG